CCCATGATCTTGTTTTGCCACTTTCCAGACCCCCACAAAACCCTATGGTTACTCGGAGCATCTTGTTATCCAATTGATTTGACATCTATATCTCTGTTATCACTCTTGTTGCTGTATTTACGCCTCATGGTTTTAAGTGTGCTGCTAAACACATGAAAGAGCTTACAACCATTTGTTCCAAATAAACATGGGATCTAGTACCTCGTCCATATGGTACTAATATTTTCTGGATCGAAATGGGTCTTCCATGTATAGTTTAATGCCGACGGATCAATTGAAAGGCACAAAGCCCGTGTTGTTGCCCAAGACTTTACCCAGATTCCTGGCACTGGCTTTCATCACACACCGGTTATTAAGGCTGTGAATGTTCACATCACTATGGTGCTGTTTCTTCGGTATAGTTGGCCACTTCATCAACTTGATGTAAAAATGCATTTCTTAACAGAGTTCTAGAAAATTAGTATTTATGACACAACATCCAAGATTTTTGACCCCTAGTTCCCTACTCATGTTTGTAATTTGAAGAAAGCCCTATACGGTCCTCGTCAGACACCTCTTGCTTAGTTCCAAAGTTTTATCTCATATGTTGCTAGTTTTAGCTTTCTTCAAAGTCATTATGATCCCTCTTCATTTTACTCTCAGGGTGGTATATTAGTTATTTATTTGTTACTCTATGTGGATGAAATTATTGTTACAGGTAATAACAAATCACTGTTGTTTTCTTTTCTCTCTTGTAGGCGAGTTCCCTGTAAAGGATCTTGGATGACTAAGTTATTTTCTTGGCCTTGAGTTTTCTAATACTTATGATGAAGGATTTTGGATGACTAAGTTATTTTCTTGGCCTTGAGGTTTCTAATACTTATGATGGATTTTTATTGGTCAAACCAAGTATACACATTATATTCTTCAGAGAGCTAGCTTCTTGGAGTCTAAGCCTGTCTTAACCTCTTTAGCGGCCCGAGAATCTCTTGTCCATGGTGTTCCAATTCATGATCCTACACTATCCCGGTCTTTGGTTTGTGCTCTTCAATATCTAACCATCACCGATTCTGACCTTTAATATGCAGTTAGCTCAGTTAGTTAGTTCCTGCAATTGCCAATTGATGATCATGTTTTGGCAGTGAAGTGTATCCTTAGATACGTTAAGGGTGCTTCGCACTTTTGTCTTTCCCTTTACTAAAGTTCCAACTATTTGATCATATGGTACTCTGATGCAGATTGGGGTAACGTTGTATTTTGAAGTGCCGAAAACAATCTTCAATTGCTTGCTCTAGTTGTGAATTTGAGTACTAGGCCTGGGAATGCTGTTGGAACTTATCAAGAATTAAACCCTAAGTCCAGATATGTGGTGTTGAAATAATTGAGATAAGATATAAAGCTAATTAATCTAACCTAATTCCATTAGCGTGTCGGATTCGGATCTACAAATTGATGGAGGATCGTGTGTTCTTCAAGTATATGGCGCAACCCCTCTGTGATGGCCTCATCACCCAATTGTTAAGTTATCGGGTTTCTGCACATAGGTTTAACCCACAATTGAATTTTTAATCCAACATATGCGGCTTCCAAATCCTTTTCGGTGACGAAGCTCCTTCGTGAGCTTTGTACCAATTTGCTCTCTGGGCCTGCTCTTTTATGTGGTAAAAGGAGCGATATATTCCTTAGTCAAAATCTGGTAGCACAAACGAGCTAATCACATTGATTTGGATTATCACTTTGTTTGTGAGTTTGTCTCTTTGGGAAATTTAGTCACTAATTTTCTGCCTTCTCATCTTCGGTTACTTGATAGTTTTAGGAAGAGTCTTCCAACGCTAAAATTAAATTAGTTGAATTAGTTTTATATTTTAAAAGTTAAATATATGTAATTAATTAGTTAGTTAATCGTATTAATATCTCTATTGTAATTTTGAGCGATGCAGTTGTATTATATATACAAGCAATCCCCATCACCACAGTTATTAGTGATATTCTATATCTCATTTTTTTAGCCCAGGGTATTTTTTTTTCCTGAAGTGTTGATTGGCCCTGACTTGATTATGGACCATTGCGACGCGCGCTTATATTTTTTGCTTAGTATAATGTGGTCTTGAGATATACCATCTGAATTTGAATAACCCACTGCATTCACGTATTCTGCCTAATCTCAGCAAAAATTCTTTACGACCATTAAGAAATGTTTGGTTTATCCAACTATATCATTTATAATACATCAAAAATAAAAAAATAAAAAAATAAAAAAAGAACAAATTTTAATGTATTTCACGAGTGAGAACAATGCCCCCAACTTTTGTTAAAATATTTCCTAATTTTCTTTTAGTTATATAAATATTTGATATTTGAAATCTATTATCATGTGATTAATGATAGATCTTATTAGAATGTCATGTTGTGAAGTCTTGAACTTTATTGAACAACTATCCTTAACACCAGCAATCGAACTTGTCGTTAAGCTCGCCGGGTTCCATGAGGGGTGGAATCTCCCCCAAGAAAATGTTTCAATTTGAACATACAGATTTTTTACTCCAAGATCATTACTATTGAAGGCATTCAATCATTTCTTGTATAAGCTAAGCTATCATTTTCTTAACCAACGACAGGTTTCTCTCAATTTATTACTATCAATGCAAGGACTTCAAATCTAAAGTGAAAGTCTACCACTGACTACCGATAGAAGAAATAAGTTCCAAACGATACTTTCACTAGCCACCAACAACTTGCCAACACTGAAGTCACTTCCTGAATCCTACTAGTGGAAAAAATTTAGGAGGATCAACAACATAAGCAACTTAGGAGTCATTTCCTCTCAAGGTTCTTTTCCAAGGTGGTTCTTAGTAGAAAGAGACTTCTAGAACTCAAAGAACTGAGGGCATAGATGCCCTATGGTCTCTCATATAATTTCATACCAAAATGAAAATTCAAATTCAGGTAATGGACAAGAAGACCACCTCAATCCGGCCAAGAAGCTTGGTACGAATCTATCTCCAACATCTATCAATAACATAATAATGCAACTGGATAAAACCCGAGCACTACCCCATCTATAGATAAAAAAAAAAAAAAATGGATGCCCTTGTGGGAGGCCATATCTGAAGGTCTCAGACAACTATCCAATCTTTAAATGCAATCACAACTAGTCCAAGATTATTAGATCACATTTATTTTTTAATGTTATTAACATAAAATTTCATTATGGAACATATATTGCTTGAAGGCTGCAAAAATGACGGTGGTCCTTTGTTCGTGCTGTAAAAAAAGTGTTATATGTTTTTATTTGATAATAATCCCAATTAAGAACTTTCACTTTTATCTTCATTTTCATAACTGTTTTATATCTAAAATGTTGTTAACCGCGTCATATATAAATAGCTTAGTGCCAGCAAGTTTGAAGAGCATGCAGGGTTTGGTCATCGAAGAAAGCCGTAAGTATATCTTTAAATTTGTTATTTTTAATAGGAACTTTTGGCCCTATAATTTTACTATTGCACCTCAGTGTTTCATCCGACACAACTCAGTAGTTTTAGGCTGTAAATATGACAATTTATGTCAATCATACAAATAGAGCTATTCGTGAAGTATTACCTTTTTTTTTTTTTTTTTAGCTATAGTTCTTTTTGTTTTGTCTTAGCTAGAGACTACTTTTTTTTTCGCAGGTCAACAAACATATGCACGTCGAAAATTGAATCCCTCAAGAAAAACTCTGCAATGCTTCAAGCTGCACTGATTGCAGGCAATGCTTTGTGCAGCGAATGTCATGATAGCGCAGATCTATTGCTCTGCAAAGAATGCCGGCGTAGTTTTCACACGCGTAAAAAAAAGTTCTATATTGTGCCATTATAGAATGATGGAAGTTTTTTAAGAAGAATGAATTACTTTTTTTTTATCTTTTGTTAGATGCACCAAGCTAAGTACTTTCTTTTAACACAAGCGCTTGAATGTGCTTTGTTTTTTGCTATTCATGCCCCAATTCGAGCTTTCTATAAAACTTATTACTGTTATTATATCTTCTTCGTCTCTCATACAGAATTTGTCCATCACTTCACTGCTAAAGACAACAAACAAATTTGCGAATATTGCATAGACATGTTCAGAGAGAAACAGGATACCTTGGATGATGCTCAAGCACCCCTTCCCACGGCTCAATCAACAGAGGCATCGACGCCGAGCAGCAGTGGTAGTAGCGATGATTATTGTGAAGATGTCATATATAAATGCTTCACTTGCAGGTACATTCGAAAAGACAAGTTATTCAAAACCTTTTTACATTTAGAATGGAATGCAAATAAATAAAATAAAATGCTGATAAAGTTTGTAGATGTATTTGTTGGGGTATTCGTAATTTCCGTCCATATATTTAACCGTCTTTTCAATTTGTGTCCCTATAACCGTTGACGGAGTAGGCACGTGCCACCCACGTGACCGTGCATTAGACCGAACCGGTTCTCATTAGACCCGGTTCTTCACCGAACCGGTTCGGTTCGGTTTGAACCGCTCCATATCTTCTCCACCGGGCACATATAATTTTATTTACTTCAGATTTATAAAGATTGATTTGTTTAGATTTATTTAGCTTTAATGGAATCCGTTTCTTTTGTTTTAACTTTTGAAGATTTTGCATCATTTAGAGTCTTTAAAAATCAAATAAAAGATTAATATTTGGAATCTATTAATAGTGGATTGTATAATTTTTTGTTTTAAAAAAATAAATAATAGGTTTCTTTATGCAATATTTTGTCAGTTACTCAATAGAATTTAATTTAATTCATTTTTATTGATGGAGAATTATCATAAATATATATATTTTTTTTTATTTTATAAACCTATGTTGAGTTTTGGCCAACTCCGACCCACATCCGGTGCATACCCGACCTGGTGACCCAATTTTACCCAGGATGCAGATCTGATCAGTTCATTCTAGGGTCTAGGGTTTTAATTCTAGCCGTCTATTCATTCGTGTATATATATATAGTGTTGCCTTTCATTCTGAGATATGCGCAGCAGCCGCTTATATTATCTCTCTCTCAATAGAGTTCTCTCTTCCCGACTCTTCTCGCTTTGCTTGAGATTTCTGGCCGATCTAGTTTTTGAGAGGCAATTTTTCTGTGGGATATTTGCAGAGAGATTAGTGAGCTTTTTAGGTGTGATTTTCTCTATTTGGAGTTGTTTCACTAGGGATTAGAGTTTTTTGGATAGGATAGAGGCGTCGTCCCTGTCGTCGGACCGAGTTCAATTGTCCCTGTTTTTGCCTCCTTTTGTTAATAAAGGTTGGCGCTATAAATCTGAGCCACAAGTCCAAATTCTTTGTTGGTATTTGTTTACTGTTTTTTCTGTTTCGATTTTCTACTAAATAAAATTTCTATGTAGTTTGTTTTTTCAAGTATTTTTCATCTTATCCAAAAGTTTACAACCTACATGAAGTTTAATTTTCAAATATTCTTTTTAAATATAAGAAGTTCTAGATACTATAAAATTGATGTGAATTGATTCATTCTATTTCGACTTATTTTAAAAATCCAAACACTGGAGTAGGATGATGACAATGGCTTTGCTTTTTTTCAGTGTGAGAGAGAACTTCACGTCGGATGTTTGAGAGAGAAAAGGATGGATGATTTAAGGGTTTGCTACCTTAAAACTTATTATTTTTAGTTTACTGACAACTTATTGATTCTTTTCTTAGTTAATGATTTCATACAAACTGCAGGCATTGCCCGAACATGAATGGTTCTGTGGTGAACAATGCAACAGGATTCATTCACGGCTTCGAATGTTTGTCTCTGACGGCAATTTGAAGCTTCATATACCAAGGGAATTCCCCAATTCTGATTTGCCAACTTGTAATACACCTATTAAATTGGTTGATGAACATGGAGATGAGTATATAGCATCCTACCTACTTAAAAGACGTGGTCTGAGTGCTGGATGGACTGCATTTTCCAAAGAACACCAATTACGGAAAGAGGACATAGTGATCTTCGGATTGATCGACACATGCAAGTTACAGGTAGTATGCCATTAACAATGAATTTGAATTTTTTCTTACTTGGTAAGGTAGTTTGCTTGATTACTGCATTGCATAAAAATACTTGGACATCAAATTTCTTAAGGGGGAAACATTTTAGTGTGATTTGAGTGATTCATTTTGTGTTGATGTAACCGTCGATTCATTTTGAATATGATATTTTAGATGGTTAGCTTTTGTTTTGGTAAAATATTTCATCAAGCATTATATCTTGTAGGTGCACATTGTCCTGGAAAATGAGCTGGATGTTGCTCATCCATATTTGGGCTTCTGGAAGATAAACTGGTGCTAGTCGGTCATTTTACCTCTCTCTCTCATATCTTACTGCACATTAATAATTGCAATGAAAAAGGTTGTGATGGATCTCTATCCTAATTGGGTATTGTATCATTTCTTGTCAATGAAATACAATAGTAAGCATATAAAGCAACAAGTTGGGAATGATTATGAATGATTAATTTAATAAATAAAAATACCGGAAAGTTCTTATAAAATAATTTGTGTAAACTGTATATAGCTATTGATAATAATGAATAGTGAATTGGTGATCATATTACAAATACAATGTAGCCTTTCCCCTATCATCTTCTCTTAATAAAATGGGGAAGTTTGCTCGACTATGCCGTTGATTCGCTAGAGTCATCCTGCAATCACTCCAGCTGAGTTGAGAAGCGACCTTTTTGAATTGGTTTTGAGTTGAGAAGATGGCAGCGGGGTGCATGGAGCCATCCAGCTGGGCTGTCAACTCCGATGGATTTACTTTTTCGCAAAGTTCGTTTATGTTTGTGCTTAGTTATATGAATTTTTCGAGCTTGATTTTGTTAATGCTTCTTCAATTGAATCTTCGTCCTTAACTCATTTTAGTTGCATTTATGTGAATTTGGATTTGAGCTCTTGATATATTTTGTGGGCCAAACTGTGGTTTTTTTCCACACTCTCATTTTTCACAAATTGACACTATGGTTCCAATTTTTTTCATCTTAACTATTTTGCAATTCTTATTAAATAACATCTCAGTTTCTATCACTATCCTAAATAAACAAATATATTTAGGTACATTTAAAATTCTCTCTTCAATAAAATCAATACAAACTGCCTACATAAAATAAAATGAAACAACTAAGCATATTCATTGATACATTAATTTATTTACCTTCTGCACCAGCCCCAAATTCACTAAAAAAAAAACCGACTTTTTTCTAGCGGGTTTGAATTTGCTACAAATGTCCATTTTTCATAGAAAAAAAGTTACTTGTGTTAATTTTGTTGCGGATTTTGGCCAGTATGTTTACCCGAGTAATAAAAAGTCTGTCTTCGAACAAATGTCGTACAAAAAATTGGTGGTCAACGAGAATGAGGAGACTTTTTGTTACGGTTTTTTGTATGTGACAAAAAACAGAATTCTTTTCATAATGAAGCATAGCCGTAATAAATAATGCAGTGTAAATGTGTTCTGACAGTCACATTATCTTTTGGTAACGATATTTGTTATGGTTTCTTGTTCGAGACAAAAAATAAAAATTTGTTTGTAACGAAGCATAACCGTAACAAATTTATCGTGCAAATATTTTCTGCATTCACAATATTTTTTTCTAACGGTTTTTGTAACATTTTTTCGAAGCAAATATATAGCCTGTTAGTTAAAATAATTTTTTGTTATATACGGAATATGATACGATTATAACGGTTTTTATAACTTTTATTTCATGACAATTAACATACAACTTGTTTTTCCATATTCCCTCCAAAAACCATTCTCAAACCTATAAAACGAAACTGACACAACCACATTCGAAGGCATCTCATAATCAGTTTCACTAACAATCGTGTCCACTACTCACAGGACTACATAAAGTGTAAACAAGCCTAAACTTACTTATAAACAAAACACTTAATTATCAGTAAGTACAATGGAGCAACTCAGGTGTGGCGAACCAGCTGCAATGAATAAGTAAGTTCTACAAGAATTTAATTATGAAATGAATATTACGAAAATATAAACAACAAAAATGCATTCATCCTCCTAACCCTTCAAACCTGCACAAAAAAAAAAAAAAAAACTATCCCAATTCAACTTGGAGTGCAGAAGTGCTTAATTACAGAAGTATAAACAAAAGAGCAGACTCAAAGAAGACCCTACCAGCTCACGTTCATATCTTTTTATCGGTGTTTGTACCAACATTGAAGCACCATCACTAATGCTTTGGAAGGCTTGTCAGAAACCACAATTTAGATCGAAAGCAATGGCAGACAAATTGCTGGTCCTGGGAATAGCATATTCTTCATCTACTGCAGTATTCTTTTTCACATTAAGTGAATTCAGGGGAAGAAATATATCTTTTCCGAATGTCACAAATATTGAATGGTGATGATTAGATATTAAGGGGAAAAAAATTGCACAAGACAACTATAGCGAAAATTTAGTAAAAGAAATTATGATATTATAACCTGTTGAATTCCTTCTGGGGTATCAATGGGTTTGCTTGTTCTTACAATTGTCCCACTCTGCTTTCTACGTGGTACCATACAGAAGGTGTGTAAAAATATTGAATACGTCGACAAGCACACACACCAACGAAAATACAAAATTATGAGACAAAACACACAAACACACACTAAAGCATGAAGACAAAAACACTTGTATTTCCTTTTCAAATTAATCCTTACATAACTTGCATTATTCTAGTGTAATATGTATCATTTAACACCCGCTATTCTAGTAAAACTTCCATGCATTATATGTATTTTAATACCCAGTAAGCACACAATTTAACACCCAATTCAACCCAAATTTAAATTGCCATTAAGTTTATTCAACAAAACTCCCCCCTAAACTTAAATGTTTCGACCATCCATCATGCCAATCATCTTTTTGTAATTGTTCAGAAGTTCTTTCGGTAGTGGTTTTGCAAACATATCTGCAACTTGATCCTGACTTGACACATGCACCAATTCGACATTTCCTTCCTTCACATGATCTCGGATAAAATGAAAGCGAACATCAATGTGCTTACTTATTTCATGGTTCACTGGATTCTTTGCTAACTCAATCGCTGATTTATTGTCAACTTGAATCATAGTTGCACATGGTTACTTCATTTCCATGTTGCTCAACAAATTCCTAAATCATATCGCATGGCATAGACACGAAGATGCTGCCACATATTAAACTTCACACGCCGAGAGTGTGACGATCGGTTGCTTCTTTGAAAGCCAAGTAAATGCGGTATTTCCCATGAAAAACATATATGCCACCCATGCTTTTCCGATCATCTATGTCACCACAACAATCACTGTCGGAGTACCAAATTAACTTGTAATCATCCGCTTTCGTGTAGAACGTCCCAAATGATATTGTTCCTTGGATGTACCGTGGAATTCGCTTCAATGCCTTCCATTGTGAATAAACCGGCTCCTCCATGAACCGACTTACAACACCAACGCTTAATAAAATATCCGGCCTTGTGGATGTGAGATAGCGAAGGCTTCCTACCAAACAACGGTATCTAATTGCATCGACACGCTCTTCTCCATCAAACTTTGAAAGTTTTACACACGGTTCCCTGGGTGTTGATCTCTTTTGCATATTTTTCTTGTGATGCAAAAATGCCCATCTTACTTGTTGAACCTCCAATCCAAGAAGAAACTTCATCAAGCCAAATATGTCATCTCAAATTCCCGTGTCATCGCTTCCTTAAACTCTTTATCATCTCATCATCGTAACCCATGAGAAAAGGTCATCAACATAAAGAGCGACAAATAATATGTTACTTCCTTTACTAATATGTCAAACAATGAAATCATCAACTGGAATGTGTCCAACATAATTGAAAGTAAAGGCAATATCACTTTTCTGGAAATTTAAATTAAAAACAAAACAAACACGCCTAAAGACAATTTAAGGCAATTGAGTTGTAATAACAGAAACTTCCTTTTTCTTAATTGATTGGGCCGATATTAACAAATACGATATTAACAAAAAATACATGCTATTTACAATTCACATAGTATACAAAGGAAAAGTAACTTGCATTCGAAACATTCAGAATTAACACAACTGAAATTTTCATGCATATATTCAGCAACAAAAAACAGATTCAGCAACTCTGGCTTTATTTTTAAAAAAATCTGCACATATTTTATTTTGAAAAAACAGTTCTAGCACCTGTTTCTAACAATAAAAGAAACCAAAATGTCAATCTTTAAAAGAGTTATCATTTTTTACAACATTCACATACTAAAGGCAAGAAAGAACAATCAAAACTCAATCAATTATTTGATTGATCATTGGATTCAATTATTTGATTTATGTTATTTATTTGGCTTTTATTAGCAACACTGGAACACTTTTAGTATAATGGTCTACTCCATCACAACCATAACATTTCCTAGGCAATGATTTATAATTCTTTTCTTTATTTTTATTTTTATTTTTATTGTTATTCGATGATTATCTCTATTATTGTTGTTTTGGTTATTCCTATTGAAAGTTCTACCTTTTACATGCATAATCTCGCCACTTGAGTTTCTAATCGATTTATTTGCTATTAAATCTAATTCATTACTTTTTAAGTTATTTATCACTATATCTAAAGTAATGTTATCTCTACCATATTTACTTGTGGATTTAACATCACTATAGGAATCGGGAATGATATTCAAAAGCACAATCGAAGAATATTCACCAATATATTAATCTCCACTCAATTTTATATCTTGAATTAGTTTAGTAAAAACATCTATATTATCATCAACACTCTTCTTAGTGTCTAGTTTGAATTGGAAAAATATTTTCAAGCAAAAACAACTTAGTTGACAAAGTTACTTCTGTGTACAATTCATCTAACCCCTCTAACAATTGTTTTGCACTAAAAAACTTACCTGCTTTCCTAAGTACATTGTCAGTTAAATGCAACACAATACACGCACATGCACATTCATCCATTTCAAAACTATTTTCAATAGGCGTATCATCGTTAAAAGTACCATCTATTGCTCGAGAAAGTTTTTGAGTACTTAAAATACTTTTCATTCTTTGTTACCAAATAGTAAAATCTATTTTTCCGTTAAACGGCTGCATATTAAAAAAAGTACCCATAGGAGCAATCATTTTAAAAGAAATATTTGCCCACAAAGAAAATCACTCAAAAAAACACAATCCAGACAATTAACTACCAATGAAATACAAAATTTGCAACAACACAATAAGGAAAACAAGATTCTAAAGATTCTAACAAACTGACAATATATATGCAATCAGCAGATTCACCAAGAAAGCACATATTCTTAATCTGCAATCAGCAGATTCACCAAGAATAAATAAAGAGAGTGTTCAGCCTTTCACCAAAATCGATCTATTACCAACAACCGATTTAGCCGAAGATTTTGCCCGAATTTGTTGGTTTGATAGATTTGGCTCTTATACCACTGTTGTGAATTTATTCCTGGATCTTTTTAATTTATCGAACAAACTTCGTATATAAAATTACGAATCAATTAGTAGCGGAAGCAATTAAATAAAATAAAACCCAAAATTAATCAAACTCCATATGAATTAACACATACTAATAAAAGGCATAAACTGAATTTTGGAATTAGGAAACAAAATAGAACAAACAGAGCCAAAGAAGGAATTGAAATTGAAATCTCCGTGTTCGTCTTCTTCATTTCAGAATTTCACAGATTCTGCTTTCATTGAACAAAAAATCGATCGACGGCGGCGGTGACTCCGACTCTGCAGCATCCTCCGGCGACAGTTCTCCTTCAGTGACTCCAGCGGCAGCAGTGGCTCTGCAGTCTGCTCCGGCGCACAACAGCATGCCTCCGTCGAACAGCCCCGATTCCAGTCATCATCTCCGGCAGCAGCAGCTTCCTCCGACGACTCCCGTTTCACACCAATCTTGTCTGAAACAATACAGAACAGTCCTGAATATGAACATCGACATTGATCTTACTTTCTCCAGCGTTAGGGACACTAAGATCGGCTCAGTCCATGGTGTCACTACCAAAAAATTGACTTTTTGTACCGGTCACAATTTCGTAACAAAAGCTCAATTTTTGTGCCAAAAAGTCTTTTGTGTCAACTTTGTTACGGATTTTGACCGCTACGAAAAATCGCGGTACAAAAAGTAATTGTTGTGACAAAAGTCGCAACAAATAACCGGCAATCAACGCCTTTAATATGCACGTGCTAAATGTATTTGTTACGTTTCTCAGCCGCAACAAAAGGTTTGATTATGTTTTCGATGCGACATATCTGTAACAAAAAATACGATACAAAAGTGGTAATATTGTTAGAGAACCTTTTGTGATGGAATATCTCTGTAACAAAAAATACACTACAAAAGTAGAACTAATGTCAGAGGATTTGTGTAACGAAACTAGTTCGTAACAAAAAGCAGTACGAAAGATATGTCACCGTGAAACTCCTTTTGTTCCGAGAAATATCCGTAACAAAAAATACAATACAAATGGAATATCTGTGTCAAATAAAGTTTTTAGTGCCACAAAAGAAAATGCACTCAACGTCGTATTTGTAACGGACCCAGCTGCGTAACAAATAACTAAAAGCATAATTCTATATAGATAATCCAAAAAGCTTTACAAGTCTTACAAAATGACGTCAATCCAATGACGTTCATAGACGTGACAAAAGTAGAAATATAACCGTCATAGGTACTTTGAAACATCATTAACCATGACCATGCCCTAAACCATCATAACAACTAACTAATACAAGATCCCCAAATTAAAAATATAATACTTAAGAAGTTCAATCCAGCATCAACGGAAAATACAATCTTTGAAGAAATCTAGGAACAACTACTTCGTACGATCAAGCTCGTCAATTGCAGAATCACAGAGGCAAGAAATCAGGGGCGGCAAACCAGCTGCAATGAGAAGCCAATATATATAAGAATTTATTACTACAATTTAAATCATTTAGTTCCCTAAATAGTAAAACTAATAAAAAAAATACATACATGTTGGTATGTCCATTCAATGTTATCTCCAACGAGTACCTCGCCAAGGATCTTCGTTCGGACATTCTTAGGGTGTATAAGTGGGGTCTCAGGAACCATAACAACTGTGACAAATACTTTGTCAAGCCAATATTATTGTTGGAATCACCAAACAACACAATAATTAAATAAAGAAATTTCTCATAATCATATTATTGTTCCTACCCAAATAAACTAAACCCTAAAGTTAGTTGTTACCTCTATAAATTTATTAGTATATTATCAAACAAGATCTAAAACCACACAATCATCAACTGCTATGTAGTTTTTAACAAACCTGGTGTAAGGAGGGACAACACACCTTCACCGAGAACACGTTTCTCCAAGCTCCGGGAAAGCAAAAGCACACGTGCTCCAATCTACACCAAACCGTTTCTTACTATCATTAACATTCTTCTAGGAACAACATTCACTCGTCTTGACAAAACATTATATGTTAGTTACAAATATATTTCATATGCAAAAGTAATTTAAGTTAAAATGTTTAAGCTTTCAACTATATGGGAACATGAATATGCATATTCATGTAGGAAATGTTGCATGGTCTTTAAGAAGCTGAATGTTTTATAATGTTTTTCATAATATAACAATCGGAAATGTAATATAATGCATATGTTGTAATATAGCATCAACCTATAAGAGACACCAGCAACAGGTTGTATTATATTGTTGTATACTGTTGTTTTATAATAGAATCCTCTTATGTTCATACTGAAAACTGCTATTAGAATCAGATATAAAATATGACATGATCTATTAGAATAAGACAACTTTATAGATCCCACAAAAAATACTTCATGACCTGATCTATCCGAATAAGACAACTTTATGCATGTATAAAATGCATCTAAACTAAAAGCCAATTATTTTCTGCAAAAATTTAGGTAACTTTGTCTTTATGTGGTGCACATAAAATAACTAGGTTAATAATATGAAAGAATGTTGTTCCTAATTCATGGCTACCAAACTCAAGCCTCTACTGTAGGCCCTAAAATAGGAATCAATCAATCAATATTACAATGAGGAACTCAAATCGATCAAGAAGTCATACATTAGGCTTTTGATCAATTAAAAAGAACTACAAAAAACATGATACACAAAAATTCTCGAATTTATTGTCATTAAGTCAAAAATAGCTACAAAACTCTGAGGCGTAGTGTATGACTATTGTAGCCTCATTCAAATATTTGATACATACATATATACGATTTAAAAATAAAAAATAAAAATAAAGTAAAGTTTATCTTAGTTTAGTTTGCTATTTCATATATCTGTATATGTTAAATACATACATTCTCTAAACTTTAGTAAAATAACTTTTTGCTAAAAGTCGAAATTATGAATACCTAGTGTATCTTCTAATTTTGTATTTGTTAATGTCTGAAATAACCATTGGTGATTGGAAGCCCGAGTTGTCATTAGCAGCCATGCTGGAATCCACAATCAATGTCATAGATTATGAGCGTGGCAAACAACTTGTACTAACATGGGTACTCCAACAGTTACAGTACCTAGCGGGAACTCCTTTTTGATATCTCAAGCTGAATTTCAAAGTTCCTACAAGGCATCCAACATAACACTTTCAGGTATTTTTTAGAAAATTTGTCAAACAAACAAAATATATATGTAAGTGAAATCAAGACTTAGATCATAGATAGCAAACATAGCTACATTAATATGTGCTAACTAGATATTAAGAGCTATTATTGCACAGACAAAACAAAGAAGTAATTCTAAGAGTTGGATATGATTCATTGAAGTGAAGGGGCTTCACATTACAGGAAATGATCAGGGATCCTTGAATGGACAAGGGCACTCATGGTGGCATGCAACTGTCAGTAATTTCTGGCAAACTACACCTTGCTTCTTTAATCAATTTTGATTTCTCTAATAACATCAGCGTTTCACCATTCAATTACAGGGGGCAATCGACCATTTGTAAGTCCTAGCATCCGATGTACACCACTTACTACTTACAAGTTACATGGAATCTATATCTCATGAGTCCTTATTTTATGATCATTAATATCAAATGAGATCAATAACATTTTCAAGGCAATCCTATTTTCGAAATATGACAACCTGAAAGTCACCAGATTGAAACACGAAAACAACCAGAAGAACCATGCCGAAATATCAGGACTAGAAATGGCAGTCCCAGATTCAAGTCCTAACACTGATGGTATTGACATAAGTTCTTCAACTTATAAATTTGTCAAAAATTATACCTTTAAAACAGGTTCCATAGCTATTGGATATCTTTTTGTCCATCTTTTTAATGTCCTTAATATTTCTACAACCATCTTTCCAATCAGACAAGACAATTTAGTACAACATGTGTTTTATATCTTGATTTTGACAAGGGATGATTATATAACAATCAATGGAGATAATTCAAATGTATATGTATCTGAAGAATGGAAAGCATGAAGAAATAGAAACTATCCCAATTGCACCTTTACAATATAAAACAAGAAAAAAAAAAAAAATCAAATTCATGGACTTACCAATCAATTGACAAATTCTCGAATGTTCAACTCAAATTATTAAAGAAATGCATGGACTTACCAATCAATTGATAAAATCAAAGCATAATGCACAGCTTCTTGTTAGATCATTCATATTTTCTTTATAGGAAACATTTGGTCACAGAATTGAAAACAGCACAAGCGGCAGTTCACATGGTATACGTTTTGGGATTTGGAAAAACTTTTATTCTAGACAATGGAATGCAAAAACTTATAGATTATTAACAAACTAATTTCAACTAAACAACAACATGGGTGCGGTATCAGGACATAAAAAAACCTACACAACAGAAACATAGATAGATATTAAGGAAATTAATATATTAATGCTAGGATTTATGAGTGCAGTGTGAGTATTTAAACACAATATAGATGCATCTATGTACGCATGCATATTTTAGGAATACTGGCCATATTATCTAGAGTAAAATCAGTTATAAATCACTAGTTCTTTACTCTAAGTAATAACAATGGGAACTTGCACTGACCGCCCATGGGAAGAAAAATACTGCATTATCTTGTTTGAAAAATGTCTTGCCAGCAATATCCTACATAATATAGAGATTCCATAATATCATATCAGTATCAGACTTTAGTACATGAAAAGCAAGCAAGTGATTGCATAAATATAGGAAAAACTAAGGAGAAGGTTTTGGTTAAAAATTAAGAAAAAAAAAAAGAAAAAGAAAAAGAAATGAAGTTAAACATAGTGCATCCTACAATTGTAAAGGCATAATTAATGAGACTTAAAAAATAACTCAACCAATGGAATGAGAAATCTAGAACACTATGTAGTAACTTTCCTGTGATATGAAGCGGCAAAGAATGAATCTCGAAAGGAAGAGATAAAGAACATACTAATCCATACCAGAACGTATGATATACAGTTCCACGTGAACCGGCATGTAATTACAATATAACTGTAAGAGGTAACGAAACATAAAAGGCAGCCATGCCACCATAAACATTTAGGGTGTGTTTGTTTGGGGGTTTGGATTTTGAGTTGGGATTTGAATAGTAAAAATTTTGAATTTGAATAGTTGTATGATGTGATATAAATAGGGTTTGATGTGATGTTTTGAATGTAAAATTGATTTTTAGTGTAATATAAAAAATAAAAAATAGATGTTTGATTTGATGTTTTTGGGGGGAAAAAATTGGATGAATTGTGGAAATCCACCAAAATCCTTCAAACAAACACACCCTTACAAAAACTTTACAAATTTAACCTAACAGTACCTAGGGATGAGAATATTATATTGAAGAAATGTGCAATGACATATACTTAACATACTATTATCACCATCAGTGCCACAAGTCACACCCACCTTGCCCAATCTGTTCCTCAATAGTCAAGTACTCCCACAAGATTTCGTAAGCCAAGCAGTCAGTGTCCATGTCAATTTTATTTACAGCACTACGGCTAGTACAGAGGACCAAGAACCTGGTGCATCATTATTAGATGTTCGATTTGTTTCAGAAACTTGATAATCTGTCTGGTCTTAACCACAGCTGGGCAACTGTCTTCTTTTTTAATTTATTCCATAACACATGTTCTTTTCCAATCAAAGATAGGGATCCACATAGCACGTGTCCTCCCCAGAAACCCCTCTTTACCTCCTTAAACTATGAGATTTTAAAAGGAAAATGAAAATAAACAAATAACTAAAAAATTATGGAACAAATATATCAAGAATCATAAAATGTACCAAAACCAAAAGCCTTATATTCGAATTTAGCATTTCAGCCTCCAATTACTTAAAATATCATGCTAAATTAATCTTTATTTTTCAATTGTCTTTCAACAACAATACTCCGTGCAAACAAATCATCAAATACTTGTTCCAATAAAAAAATTAAAAGCACAATCTAATACTTGCAATTTATCAACTTAAGACACATAATCAATGGAAAGCAGTGGATGATTACACTGATTGGTCACTGATAGTCATGCTTGTAGAGAATGCAATTTAATTTTATTTCTTCCGGTTACCTCCCTATTAATGATAAGGTATCATTGACCATCAACCATGTAAGAAATCATCATGACTGAATCATAGTTTGCATTAAGAAATTTTAGAGGAAGCTCTGTTTTTTCAACATGTAAAGCACATATACGAAGGATTGAAAATTTACCGAACAAGATATATTTAGCAAAGAGAGGTGTATCAACATAAAAAGCCTAGAATAATCCTCTTTGTTTGATATCAAAATATGTTTATAATTCATACGAAGGATTGAAAATTTACCGGACGATGTGAGGTTATCGAAGGAAGCTAAGAGCTCTTTCCACGACCAATAGCTATGGGAGAACTTCCCAACAAGGGCAAAGTTGAAATCAGAAACCAAATCAGATGTTTCTTTCTTGGAAAATGAAACTCAAAACACTTTTCCAATCTTAGAAGCTGAACGGAATTGAGACTGAAGATCAATAGACAAAAAAAACTTGGAAGAGGCATTTTCACAAACACCTTGAGGGCAATAAGAAGGGTTGAGCATTTCCTCATAACATGGTCGAGGTTGGGACCAAACTTCATCCATGGCTGAAATGCCACCAATAAAGACAAAAATCCGTTACTCAATCATCTCCAAGACTACCAAACAACAAGCAAACAAAAACACCAAGAGCAGAGCCTATCCACACAACAGATACACAAAGCATGACAACAATTGAGACTTACAAATGATCCAAGAATTGAAAGAAAAATAAGCTGAGCATAACCGAAGAAGAACCCAACCTTCCCATCGACGGCCGTTCTGTAACTCCGGGTTTCAACCGAGTGTGATGAGACACGAACAAATAGAGACCGACGCACCAAGTAGCGGGAAATCTCGAATAGATTAACTCAAATAACAACCGGGTTACGGAGACTCCACCATCCTCACAGGCCGGCGATGGTGATCCGTCGATCGAATCAAAGTGGGGTCGAAGGAGCTTGCTTCGACGATGGTTCAAAAAGTGAAATTCGATTTGGGCGAGAAATTTAAATCGAATTCGAAGTGTTTGATTTGAAAATTTGTATGTATGCATAAGCAAAGCGTAAAAGTATTTACATTTTCAATTTTCTTTTTATTATTATTTTTTTAAAAAAACAAATTTATCAATTTTTTATATTTTTTCATAACAAACTTATATATATGTTGCAGTTTGACATTTGTACCAAATATATTTAGGACAATATCTCTTAATAATTGTATTTGTTGCAGTCAAATGGTAGAAACAAAAAATAAAAAATCATTGACCAAATAAAAAACCTTTTATTACGATAAATTTTGTAACTAAAATTATTTCTTGTTATGGTCTTACTGTTACGGAATATATACTCTCTACAAATAATCAATTTTTTTAGTAGTACATGAAATGACTAAAACCAAGGAGCGTAAAGAAAAAAATAATGAGGATGTAAGAAACACTATTTCCACCCCTGCTTGGACTTCTTCCATCAAATATTTAAGGGAATTTTCATGCAAATAGATATACTTATTTTCAAAATAATCGTATTTGAGTTATTCTAAAAAATTTACAGTTAAAAAATTAATGTATGTAATTTATCAATTACTCGGAGAAAACTCGCTATAAGTTATATTTAGTTTCAATTCAGTCTCCATTATAAAAAAAAAAAAAAAAAAAAAACTGATCGACACTCCATCCTTCATCTATTTAATTTAAATTGCTCCCCGTTACATATTATCGTAATAATTTGCGTAGTCTAAATTTGATATGCTCCTACAATATATTTAAATACTCACAAGATTATTTTATATACTTATAACACATTCCGCTCTACTTATACTATATTTTGCTCTACCTAAATTGTTCTACTGATATTCCTCTATTTAATTTATGTATACTTTTGTCTGTATATTTCATAAAAAAAAATAATTACAATCGCATTTTATTGTGGAGCGAGACAAAAAACTACCACAGATGCGCTTCTTAGACCTTTAGAAAAAAAATTCTTATACCCCTTCTCTATGCCCCCAATCGCTATCATTGCTCTCAACTACTGATGAAGTGAAAAAAACATAATAAAAAGTGTAAATTATTTTTTGTAATCTCGTATCTGACCCCTTTATCATTTTAGGACTTTAAGTGGACCTTATTTGAAAATAGTCCTGTAAGTAAATATTTTTTGCTAAAAGGGTCCTCCGGTGCCGGACTCGCCACGCTGGCCCGTCGTTGTTAATGTGACGCTGACGCGGCTGACATGTCATCGCCAGCAACACATGGAATTATTTTTTATTTTTTATTTTACAAAATATCTTGGTAAAATATTTTTTTAGTCCCGTATATGACCTCCTTTATCATTTTTAAGACATTTAAATGGACTTTGTCTCAAGATAGTCTTGCAAGTAATTTTTTTTCGCTAAAATGGTCCTCCGACGTGGCATTTACGTGGTGATGACATGTCAGCCGCGTCAGCGCCATGTGAGCAATGGCTGCCAGCGTGGCGAGTCTGGCACCGGAGGACCATTTTAGCGAAAAATTTTTAGTTATGGAACTATTTTCAGACAGAGTTCACTTAAAGTTCTAAAATGATAAAAGATCAGATACGGGACTTAAAAAATAATTTACCCTAATAAAAAAGAATCTCCAATCCATCCCGTCACTAAGGCAAAGCTGTTAAAAAAATGTGATACATACACTTTTTTGGGCCTTTGGATTTGCGCTTCGTATTGGGCTGAGCCCCCTATATACTATATATATATATACATATAGACTAAGCCCTAATTAAGAACATACCAGTCATCATCTTCATCTTCACTTACTCCACCGTCTCCATTCATCTCTCTACTCACACATGAGTTTACTTGTGCAATTCATCTCCACCATCTTCAATACACTCACATCACACAAGAGCGCATATCACTCTATATCCTCCGTATCTCACTTCTACTCCATACACTCCCCACACTTGTGCACGATCTCTGTACGTGATTACTTGAATCACTTCTCTATGCCTCTGCCTTCATTCGCTCACTAATCGATCTCCGTATCGATTTTCCTTTACCTTATTTGTTGCTAATTTCTCACTTACATTTGTTATTTTATTAGTTCTTTCACTTCTCTTCCTTCCACAGGTTACAAATGTGATTTGGTGACTTTGTGTGGTTGAATCTAAGGTTCCGGTGTACTAGACCTATGGAAAGCAATTAAAGTGATATTTGTTACTAGATCGGCTTAAATCTAGTTGTATTGTTTTACATTCTTTGGTTATCTGTTGGTTTATGATTAGTTGTGAACTAGTTTGTGTTTTCCAATAGAACACGGCTGCTTTCCGTTTTGATTTATGTGTTCATCTGTTGCTCTCTAGTCCTTTGCGATCATAGCAAGTACTGTCTGTTTTTTATCTCGTTGTCCGTGTACACCCATTGTGGTTGTTAATAAATGTGATTAGAATGTAAGTGTTCCTCACTCTTGTTGATAAATCTATGCATTAGATTACTTTTGTTGTCTCAACATGGTATCAGAGCTATCTAATAGCTTGTCTCCTTAATTTTTTGCAAGCATTGTCTCTTAGTTTTGACGCTTCTGATGTATTCTCTGAAGCCTCTGTAAGCTTCATCTATTTTTTTAAACTGCTCTATTGACACCTGGTTTACAAATAAATGGTTGGTCTCTATAAGAGATCCAATAGCTGGCCACTGTGACAAGTATGTCTTAGTTCACTTTATGTCATTTCACTATGAGTGAAAGCATTGCTCAGAACTCAGGTTTGTCCAATAATCCTTCCCTGGTGAGTTTGAATTACTTCAATCCTTTGTATCTTCATGCTTCAGACTCATCTAACACTTTTTTGATCTCTTGTGTTCTTACTAGACGTGAGAGCTATGTAATCTGGGATAAAGCGGTGACTATAGTCTTATTAAGAAAAAACAAACTTGATTTTGTTGAAAGTAATGTGCCTATGCCTACTGATCCTGACTTGTTAAAAAAATGGAGCATGTGTAATGCTATGATTATGTCCTGGTTATTAAACTCCGTTGATAAATTCATTTATAGTACTCCTATCTTTCACACTAAAGCTTTTGATATGTGGACTGAAATTAAGAAAACATATGGAAAGAACAATGCAACCTATGTGTATGCTCAAGAATTAAATAATTTTACTTAAGGAAATGATAGTGTAAGCATCTATTACTCAAACTTGAGAGTTTTCTGGGATCATGTCGCATATGTCAAAGCTGTAGACATGTGTATTTTCACTACCAAGTCTTTTTTAGATAAATATGAACATACTTAACAACTTGTGCAGTTTCTAATGGGTTTAAATAATAGATATAGTGTGGTTAAAAGCACAATTCTCACTATGGATCCTTTTCTCTCTGTTTCTGAAACCTTTAACCTTGTTTCGAAGGAAGAGTCTCACAAGAAAATATGTGGAATAACATAAACTCATAAACATACTGGTGCCTTTGTTGCTAAAAAGACAATTAGATCGAGAGAAAAATATCTAAATTTGAAGTATTCTCATTGTGGTAGAACATGTCATTTAGTTGAAAGGTGCTATCAATTAATTGGGTATCTTGGTAAGAAACAAACTTTTCGACAAAACGAGCCTGTGGCTAACACTGCAAACCCTTTGTGTGCTCAACCTCTGAATGTTAGAAGTGAATATAATTTAACTACGGTCTCACTAACTCCAGATATTTATGATCAATTGATCATGTTGTTGCATGAAAAAAACCGTGAATAGAGATCACACCTCAACATGGCACGCATTTCTTTAACTTTTCCTTGTAATTCCACTGTCTATTGTGAGTGGATTCTAGATTCAGGGGTCACTAACCATATGGTAGTTGATAGAAATATTTTTTGTGATGTAAAAAGTCTTCCTAATGGCCCACTGCACATTACTTCTCCTATAAGTAAAATTGTTAGAGTAATTGAAAGTGAAAATTTTCATTTTAGGAATAATATGTTCTTGAAAATGTCCTAGTTGTCCCCAAGTTTACTCTTAATCTGTTGTTAGTTGGAAAGCTTGTTTCTTTAGGGACTCTCTCCGTGTCCCTTTCTAAGGATGGATGTACGGTTTACAGTATAATTGATGGTTCTATTCTGACTTCTGCCAAAATCAGTAATGGTCTCTACATACTACCAGTAGAAGTGTCATCTCTCTATAAATCTTGTAGTGTCGCTGCTCTAGATCTCTATGAACTTTGGCATCGTTGCTTTGGACATACATCATATGCTACTTTAAGTATACTTGAGTCTTATATTGTTTTTTCTTGCAAAAATGATGTAGTATGAGATAACTTTCACTTATCCAAGCCAACTAGAACACCTTTTCCCTCTTAGCGACCATAAGTCCAACTCTATTTTTGACCTTGTTCATGGAGATGTGAGAGGCCCTTATTGAGTTGAATCTAGAGGAGGATTCAAATATTTTCTAACACTTGTAGGTGACTTCTTTTGTGTTGTCTGGGTAAACTTGATGACTGCTAAATTTGATGTTAGTAATTGTGTGACACGGTTTGTTTCTCTCATAAAAAAATCAATTTATGAGAATAATAAAATATTTTTGGTATGATAATGGAACTGAATTTTTGAAAGGTTCCTTATTTTCTATAATTTTTTTTCTGAGAATTATTCACCAGAAATCATGTGTGTATACTCCTCAATAAAATGGAATTTTTGAGAGAAAACACCGTCGCATCCTTAATGTTGCTTATGCTCTCATGCTCTATTATAGTTATCCTCTTTTTTTTGTGGGGAGATGTAATCCTCACTGTCGTTCACCTAATGAACAAAACTCTCATTCTTCTTTTAGGTGGTAAAACACCTTTTGAACTAATTCATCAGTGTAAGCCCAACTTACCTATGCTAAAGGTTTTTGGGTGTTTGTGCTATGCCACAGTAGTAAATCCTACTGATAAGTTCCAAACTCGTGTCAGCAGGTGTTGCTTTGCTGGGTATACTGAAAGTAGGAAATGATACAAGGTGTTGGATCTTGAATCCAACACTGTTTTTGTATCTTGCGATGTCAAATTTCATGAGTCCATCCTTCATTTT